CATAACCACATAACCTGATAACCATGCAAGCGTGTATAACCTCATTTTGATTATGGTCCAACTGCATTCAAAATAGCTCTCAGTATTTAAAATTTACCAACGATTCGGGCAAAAAGCAAAGCAAGGTAGTTTGTTTTAGAACCTTGCTTCGAATAAATACTACTTTTCTAAGTGTAACTTTGTTGAGCAGAAGTCACTTTCATCAGTAGATGACCAACAAACAGTCTTTAAGAAAATATCAAGGCTTAATAATGATCATCATAGGAATAATTTGGCGCTTACACTTTTGCCAAGTGTTTGTTGTTAGACAAATAAGGGGACCTAAAATTTGACACTGCCTCTGAATGGCAAATGATTTTGTCAGAAGCTTCTTCATGACAGAAATACACTCGCAGGCTTGCCATTGCCTGTCGAGGGGCAACCGCTTCTAGAAAAAACTTTTCCTAACTTAGATACTGCCCCCACCAGGAATCAAAGCCAGGTCCAGAGAGTGATAGTACGCACCTTTAACCACTCAGTCACAGCGACCATCAATACATACTTACTTAGTTGAATAATATTCTTCTCATTTAACTTTTTGCTACCGACGACCGTTATACCGTATAACCTTGTCACATCAATAGCCCGAAATATTTTATTAAAACAAGTGTGCCAGCTTGGTAAGCATAAATAACCGTTTTTCTTTCCCCCTTCTTTAAAGTGACCGCTATTATGTACCTACCTAATTTCGAGGACTTTTTAAATTTTCAACAAAAAATATAGAAATAAATTAAGTATGCTCTTTGCTATCATTTGCACACTAATTGCCTATTTATGAGCTGTAAATAATAAAAAATGCAATTAAACGGTGTTTGTCTCCTCAAAAAAAGGTTAAACAACACTTTGCAAAATTTGTTCTTTGTTGGCTTTTTAAGGTTTTTGCTTGTCTTGTTAGCCGTATATAAATACATATAAATATACATTCAACATATAAATATATACACACAAATACAAATTTACCAGTTTGTGTAAGAAACTTTTCTTTTTACTCTTAAGAAAGTACGAGTATTTATTTGTTTCATTTGATTGTTCTTCACTTCAATGCACAGCCATGCACTGTTACACACATTCACATGCACATAAAAGAACTCAGGCATTGCATTAAAGGATAAAATTAAAGGTGAAAAAGTAAAATAGGAAGTTAGTTGACGAAGATAGTTTTTTATAGTAGTCAATTTAAGAACTAGAAGATGTAATTATCGAAAAGAATATTAAATAAAAAATAATAATTTAAATAAACAATAATATAAAGTAAAAAAAAAAAAATTAAAATTAAATCAAAATGTATGCGACTGTTACGAGTCTTGCCGGCACAGCAGTTAATTATGCGTCAAGTGGAACCTGGAAAATCTAATACCATAGACAGACGGCAAAGATAATCGGGATTAACGGCGCAGTTAGGTAGGTAGGTAGGTAGGTAGGTGTAGCTGCCACTGCTACGCAGAGACTCACATAGTTTTCATTACCCTTTGCTAAGCCACGAAACTCACCAGGCACCTAGAGTCTAAGTCTTCCAATTTGTCGCGGTAACTAAAGTAAGGAGACCCCAGAAAACGACCCCTACTCCTCGATAAAGCCGGACAGTTACAGAAAAGATGGAGAACTGTCTCATCCCTCTTTAGATAATATAAGCTTCGACACCCTTTCGATAAAATTCTCCTATAAGCAGCTTACACCTGGCGAGGAGCATACTAATGCGTTTTTGTTACTCGGAAGAATCTTCTTGGAAATATGCTGGTTGAAATGGAAGAAGATGGGCTAGGAGTAGAAATACAAATGTAGTTCCATGTATCCCGCAGTGTTGTTATTAAGATTTGAGAGGTGCCTTCACGCGTGGACAAAGCCAGCCTGAATGGGAAAAATTAGACGCATTTCATATATCATTTGCCATACCAGCAGCTTAAAAACCCTACAACAAGTAATACGAACAATCAAGACGCAATACGGTGCCCAATGCTCACCGTCCCAATTATTTAATCAGTCGAATGAAGCTGACTAGGGAAGTTTGTGCCAGAGGCTAGATTGACGTTGCAGCATTGCATTATAAACTTGCTCTGAACGTCAGTAGGTATTTTGATCAGAAATCTCTTCAATAATGTACACACTAGACTACAGTGTCCGCCGATGACCGCGGCATTCCACTTCGTATGAACCAATCTTAGGAAAATAGGTACGGGACATTAGTGGACGAAAAACTCCAAAGATGATCTGAAATTGTTGTATTCCGCGCACGGTGTGCTTTTGGAACACTCTATGGGAATTGGTCGTACTAATATAATTTCGTTCCATAATTAATCCTTTAAAAACATTTTTTAAATTTTACTATACAAATCTTGTTTATTGAATTTTTTATGAATGACTTGCTTGCACAGGCCCGTCTCCCAAATTAATATCACTTGAACAACAAATTATAACGATTTTGAAGTTGAAGATATACACAGAGAATAACGGTTGGGTCCGCATTTCGACTGAAAAAAGTCGTACTTGTGACTAACGAATAAATTGATATTCACCGAAACAGAAGACACTATTTTTTTCAATTTAGTCCTTCCCACAAATATAATCCACATCCTGCGTGTCGTAAGATACAAACGTGGTTTTAAGGCCCTAATCCTTCAATGAACGCCACCAGGAATCACAATAGGCCAGGCGAAGATTTGCGTCCCCTAACAAACACAACACAAAAGTGGTGAGAGTATCCCGAACTGAGGGCATCCTCTATCTGTCATGGTGCAAAGGAAGGCTATCTTCCTCACCCACGTCAGCAATCTTATAGATAAATTAAGGTGTAACCAACCTATGATTGTCGCGTTCACTCCATGCCTCCTGTCCACAGAGCACATATACCCCCTCTGTATCAGCAAAGGCTACCATTATGTACTCACCTGCTTCCAGTTCCACTGAGCTGAATCACAGAACTCTTCACTTTGGTATGCATGTTGGCGAACACTAGGGAGGCTTTACACAAAAAAACCTACTTTGCTCTAATGATATCTAATTTACTTTTCGACCGTGAATCAGATTCCATACTGATTGGTCTGAAGCTTCGTAATGTAATGAGTGGGAACGTGTCCAACTGCTAGAAAGGCCCTAAAGCTCTTAATATAACCCCTATAAGCCTGACTACCCCCATATCAGCATCTTAACATACATGCCGTCTTACCCTCGGTGATTTTAATTCGACAAAATAGGCTATAAAATACCGCACTGACTGCCGAGTAGCCACTCTTGATGATAAGTACCAGTTTAGTCTAGACTTCCATATGTCTATCTGCGGCAGGAATCAACCTGTTACCCGGAAAATGGGGTTCGTAGAGAGTGCTAATATAAGATCTTTCAGATTTTCTGAGAGAATCCAGCCGTTAGGTTCTGCTGGCAGTCTCTTTCACGATGTCAGTATCACTGCAGAGCTCTCTAGAGCAGCTTAAATACGTTCTCTTATATGCGTTCTGCGCTATATAATATTCGGACCAATCCTCCCGTTTTCGGGGTTTAAATGCCCTTTGAAGTAGTTTCGTGGATCTTTTATTTATGATGTTTGGTAGGTTTAACGTGCCATCATGTGACCACTTTTCCCCTGCCTGCTTCTTGTTAGCCGACACCATTCGCAAAACAACCAATCAAAGTACTGGTTATCTTGTCTGGGTCGCTGCTTCAACGGATTTCAACTGTCTAAGTTTTGGGAGATCTGGTATTCTCATTTCAATGGCCAACCCAAACTTTGCCTTTGAAGGAAGGAACCCGATCTTTTGGCGCGTGATATTCAATGAATCAGATAACTCGATAGCCAGGAAAGCGTGAATAACATGAATAAAATAAAAATAAAAATAAAAATAAAAATGAAATCAAATATTATAAAATTTAGTCAACTACAGCCCCAATAAAGCTGAATAGAAATAAAGAATTGTAGTGCTCACATCCCCTTATAATTTTAAGTTTAACCATAAAAAAAAAAATGTGAATAGCTTTTCTGACTCCACTGTATCTTTAGTCAAAAACTTTATTTTGAGTTAGTGAAAGCGTATCTTTAAAAAAAGTTTAAAGTTCAAAAAATGATGCACAGAGAACGATCTAACTCGCATTCTCTCTTCTAAATTTTCTTGCAGATGCCAAAATGTTTGCTTTTATAAGCTGATAGTAACAACGCCAAAGTTACGCTTTGACTAACTTAATGCAAACCTCTATAATTTATGTGTTCAAATCTTCCACAATAAATGATTCCATACATAATTGGCATATAACTATAACACATCTCTTTCACAGTTTTCGATAATTTTAATTTAAGATTAATTTGCATTGATTGATTTTCTGCATTTATTTCATTGCTACTTGTATATATGTATGTATGTATATACTTTTTCAATTTGTTATGACAAATTCAGTCAATTCAGTTTAAAATTTTTTTTAACCCATGTTTTCTCTCTATGACTCTCAACTAAACTCTCACTACTTTACTATCTGTTTCCTTAGTGTGTTTATGTTTTTTTTTTTTAGTTTGTCTTTTATTATTGTTGTATACTGTGTTTCCAATTAAGTATTGTTGGTAATTGTACGAAACTAAAACCCAAAAAAAAAAACGATATATTTTTACACAGAAACAAAACTAAGTACTTTTTCACGTGTATGAAATGTCTCAACGGAATGTAAAAAATATACCATTGAATGAATATAATAACAGTAATGCTAATTTTTTTGCTCATCAATTAAAAACTAATACAAATATAAAATCAACTAATCTTTGTCTCTTTTTGCAAATTTTCTTTTTAACTACCATTTGAAAATATTTGCTGATCACCCTGGCGCGCTTCCCGACCGGCAGCATACACCTCGCAGCTGGATTGAAACAAATTTCCAAAAGAGAGAATGCATCAAATTCATACCATCCAAAGATGAGACAAAGTGAGTATACAAAAATATGATTGGCCGAAAAATAGATTCACTTAAATCTTGTTATTGTAATTTTAGGACATAGTACAGTCATGTGCAAAATAAAAGGGACACGAAGTTTTGACCGGTTTTGGCGATTTTCCTTTTGTTTGCTTAATGTTTATTATTATTTTTTTTATATTTCATTATTCAACTAAAAGTTTATAAGTGTAGACTTCAAGCCTTGTAGAAAAATTTGAAAAATTAAGCAAAACTTTTTATTAAGCATTTTTAGCAAAAAATCTAAGTATGCAGTTTTGTAGCCCATTAAGTGCTAGCACAAGAAAAAGTAAGTTTAAAGTGGCTAACAATTCGCCTTGATTTTTGATATTTTTTTTTTTGCGGGTGGTGTTGTTATGTTCTTCTATACAAAAAAGAATCTCCAATATACTTTGTTTGGAAAAAAATGCGAGACACCAGCAGCAAAGAGCCACTTTAAATTTGCTCTATATTAAGCTGGAATTTAATGGGATATAAAACTTAGATTTTTATAAAAATTCTGTATAAAAAAAAAAAATTCGTTGTTGTAAATTTTTGTTGAATTTTCCTAATCTTTCGGCAAAGTTTGAAATTTAGACTCATATGGCTTTTTTTACATATTGCGCTGTATTAAAAAAAAAAATTAATAATAAAATTTAAACGAGCAAAAAAAAGATAACCAAAACTGGTCAAAATCTCGAGTTATTATTATTTTTCACATGACTATAATTATTAACCACATGAAAGCTTAAAATTAAAAACTGGACACCAGTTTTTGCCAATGTGAAAACGGCACACAAATGTTTGAGAATTTTTATGATTTATTGAGTAATTTTATAACTGGACATACATGGATACTGGACTTTGCCACTTTAAAATTGTACATAATTTGTTGGTAAAATAAAAGCTTTACGTTTTTTTGATCATCTAAAAGATGGACATAAGGTTTTTTCATTTATAAACAGGAAATAAATTGTAGGCCATTTTAAAATTAGATATAATTTTTTGGTAAATTAAAAACTGGACATAATAATGTTTCGTTATAAAAACACAGGACATAAACTTTTGATCAATTACAAATAGAAGCTAAACATTTGATCATTTAAAACTGGATAACGAAATTGATGATGACATGCGGATATAAAATTTTTCTTTAAAAAAATGGATGCGAAATACATACTTATACATATGTACAGTATTGGCCATATCTATAGCACCCCCATTTCAAAGTGATATTGTTTGCCACTTGTGTTTAATTATTAATTTTTAAGAATTATTAATTAGTACAGTTCATTCTCTAACAAAACCCATATAAACCCAAGTTTTAAACTTTGTAAAAGACTACAAAAAAAAAACGCAACAAATTTTTACCTAAATTTCAAACTTTTTTCTGCAGTGCTAGAATTTTTTTGAGTACGCAATTTTATAGCACATTCAATTTTAGTCAAACAAAGTGCAAGTTTCAAGTAGCTAAAAATTACCGTTGATTTTATATGGAAGTATCCCGCAACACCTTCAGCGAAAAAAATTCTAAAAAATTAACTTGAAACATGCACATTGTTAGACTAAAATTGAAGCGGCTATAAAACTGTGTACTCAAAAAAATTCTAACACTTCTGAGAAAAAAGTTTGAAAGTTTGTTGATTTTTTTTTTGTAGTTTTTTACGAAGTTTTAAGCTTGGGTTTATAAGGGTTTTGTTAGAGAATGAACTGTATTTTAATTGAAAATTCCTAAAAAGAAATAATTAAACATGAGCTGGAAACAATACCACTTTGAAAAGGGGGGTGCTAATGTATTGGCCAATACTGTATGTAAAAAGTGGCCAGAACTCGCAAAAAAGCAGCTGCTCTCAACACTACTAGCTCCATCGTTTGCCTCGTGTCTTTTTCTACAGACTTGTACTCATTTCGAAAATACATATCTACTACTTTAACCATTCTAACCAAAATTATTCCGTTGCCGTTTCGTCAAGTCATCAATTCAGTACTTTTCATCTCATTCCCACTTGTTCATTCAACCATAAAGTTATGCACGCTTCATTCATTTCCTTGAATTGCAAGGTAAGGTATACATAGATTAATTGATTTTACTAAATTCCATCAAATCTTATTAGCCAGTGTCATACACACGTACATAAATAAATGCCTATGTATCCACTATTGAATGTCCTTTGCTTTGCACGCACATGCTCACATAATTCTCATACACAAATTAATTATAATTTCCCTTTACTTCACGCAAATTGTGGCCATTTAAAATGATTTAATTTAGTTAGGTTACCAAAATTTTGGTCAATTTATGTGTGCAACAACGACGATGGATTTCTTGTTGATGAAATATCGATTATGTGCTTGTAATATGATTGAACTCCTTTCCATGCAAAAACCACAAATCAGATACTTTCGCACAAGTGAGGAGATGTGGTCATATCATTTTGCAGTGCAAAAATAGTTTTGGCTAATAGACTAATCTACCTCATTCATCATTCTTTAAAATCATCTGCTTGTATGTGTTGACAGTTTTGTTGATTTTAGGACTAGTAGCAGCACAGATGCTTATTTTCTTAGCCCTCATCGTGATTAAAACTTTAATAGTGTCAACTGAGTTGAAAAGGATCCCGATAAAATTATGTGGATTTTTCCAGTAATCAAATTTAATTGCAAATACTAAAACCCCTGCCAGAGCCTCTTTTCCAGTATGTGAGGGGCCTCTTAATACTACTATCACACAAATGGGCGACAATGCAGTTTTATGAGAAGCTTTTTCTTGGGGGCTTAGAAAATATGACTTTCTTACTTTTTTTCCGAAACTTTCCTCCCGTTTCTTAACGTGTTTTTACAGTCTCCGCGTTGAAGACCCACACATCTTAGCTTCATTTCCAAATCCGACAAACCATCACGAGACTCGCTCAAATCAACTTATGGAATCGGGCTGTTATCATGATTTTTAGACCAGTACGTTTTTCCCATCCATTCAGAGAGCTTTGACACGATCTCGACCAAACTCTTGGGAACGCGTTTGCCGCTATCTGTGACTTCTCGACCTGAGGGTGTTCTCTGCTCAACTCGCAGTACCGGCGTTTCGCTAATGGTTCTCCTCTATGAGGAAATTAATTTCTAGATGCTTTTCTCAGCTTATTCCGCTGTAGAATCGACCTTAAATATATTACCTTTACGCCCTCTGTTGTTGATTGAGGCTTCCGAGCATGGAAATATCAGTCTCCAAGTGCTACCTGACTGACCTTCGGATGAAAAACTTTAGATTCCATTCCCATACCCAATAGTCCTTTTGGTTCCTACAGCTTTCTTTGGTAATTGCCTTAGCATTTCATATAAGTCCATTCCGAACGACACGATGAGACTAAGTTTTTCCACCCTATAGGTGAAATTAGTTTAGAAATTATGATTCATCATTATCATTACAATTACTTGCATTATTATCATTAAAATTATCATATATACTGCAATTATCATTACCTTAAGAACTACTTTTTAACCGACTTCCAAAAAAGGAGGAGGTTATCAGTTCGTCGGAATATTTTTTTTTTTGATGTATGTTACCGCATAACTTTGGACCACGTCAACCGATTTCGATAATTCTTTTTGCATCGGAAAGGTAGTGTCTCAGAGGTGGTCCCATACTAATCTGGTTGAGATCCGATCAGTGGATCATGAGATATATATATATTTTTTATATGGGAGTTGAAGTCGGTTTTTTTTTTGCTAAAAATTACTTGCATCATTACAGTTACCATTACCACCATTTTACCACTGCAACTACCTTTCATTGCTAGTAAAGTTAGATGTTTTATTATCATTACTGTTGCCAGCAATATTATCATCTCCATTACCTTTACAAGTACCATTAACATTTAAACAATTACCACTTCCATTATCTCTGATATTACCATTACACTTACCAATACCATTACCGATACAATTTCCCATGTCATCGAAAATACAATTACCATTGCCATGAGAATTGCCTTGGCGAATCTTATTACCATTACAATCGCTAGTCGCAAAGTCATTAACATTATAATCACTAATGCCATTACCATTATAATTACCAATACCATTACCATTGTAATTACCAATACCATTACCATTACAATTATTGCATAGAAGCTTAACGCATGTCGAAAGATCGTACTAAAGTAGATGAGTCGTCATAACCACCTGATACGCTTGCCCGATAAAGTGACGGGTATAAAGGTGGATAACGGAGAACCTCGAGAAGTATGAATACGGCCGCGGCGCTTCAGTCATTTGATCCCTCTCTCTGTAGTTGTCATGCAGTCAGCTCATTACCCTGTAGAGAAAATCTCAAATTTGGAAATGACACAAAAACGCCGAAATACGCAAACTTAAATTTAAGTCATAGATTACAGATCGGTATTCTGTTTTTCTAGATCATGTAATTTTCCGAAGTTATTTAATTTTTATAAAAAAAATCCAACTTTAACTAACGAAAAAAATTGATAGTAATGTTAATAAAAGGTTTGAATGGTCAAGTGAAAATACGTAATATTTTTTTCGTATGAAGTATCAGGAGAGAGATCAGGAAAGAGTGTTACTCATACGCCATGTACGAGTATGCTATTTTCAAATTTTTTCCCTGATAAAGTTGGACCTTTTTTCATTTACAGTGAAAAATTAAAATTAAAATATTTTGCGAAAATGTTCTGATCTAGAATAACGCTATACCGATCTGTAATGTACGACCCAAAATTAAGTATACGTGTCTGGGCGTATTTTTTGGTATAATTTTTGCGTTCCTGCAGTGTGATTCGATTCAGAAAAATCAATCCATGATTTCTCTTCACGGACCCTTTCATAGTTGGCACCAGATTTAATTGCTGCCGATTCCGCCACTAACACCGATGCTTGGCTTGAGGATCCGTCTACTATTGTAACATCCTTCGGGATCTTGCTCACATTGGATACCCTTAGCTTCTTAAGATAAGATGCTTTTCATTGGGGTAGCCCTTGAA